GTGGTCCTCCTTAAAAGTCTGAACTCTGCTGTCACACATCAAGAGCCTGCTTGTTCCATCTTTGTAGACAACCAGTCTATCAGTCGTTGTAGTTGGAAATTGTACACCTTCTTGTGCTGCCAGCCATACAGGTCTCTGAACACATCTTCTCTTTCGCCAACTGTAATGACACCAGATGAAGGGACCACCTACCACTTTTCTTTATCTGTGATCTTGACATGCAGGAACTTTTTTGCTGCTCTCCAAATCCATGCAACTACCCCTATCAGTTTTCTCAAACTGCTGAAGTGCCTCACGTCCACTAGTTGCTGGACTACTGCAGCTGCAGGCGGTCTCCTAGAGATGATCACTTTATTCTGGACTCTGATTGGATTTTGTTCTTTCAGCTGACTTCAGGTAAGTACAGCAACAAATGTTTTCTTCTGTATTTTTATAACATTGTCTCTTGCTTGCACAGAAACATCATTTGCAGATTTCTTTGGCCACTCATTTTCAGGAAGTTGAAGGAAACTTGGACCCAACTGCCACTCTGAGTCTTGGGTTAAGTAAGCAGGACTTGCCCCTCTGGTGATAATATCTGCAATATTTGCTGATCCTGGAATCCACCACCAGTCTTGGACATTAGTGCTGCTCTGGATCTCTCCAACCCGGTTGGCGAAGAAGGTCTGATATCCATAACTCTCTCACTGTATTGCACCCAAGACAGTTTTGACTGTCAACGAGATGGAACCACTTCTCAACTTTGATTCGGCAATGTTTCTGGAAATAGGTCTTTAGCCGGGCTGCAAAGACTGCTCCGCATATCTCCGCTTTCACAGAGTCACCATTGCAGTTGAGAGGAGTCAGCTTGGCCTCAACCAACCTCACACTGACACCATTAGGGCATTCCCAACGCAGGTACAACGCAGCACCATATGCATGCTCACTGCCATCAGAAAAAGTGATGCCAATTGGACCTGCATGTGGGTCTGGTGGTGTCAAGGATCTGATGAATTTGAGTTGGCTCAGGTCAGCATATTCTTCTAGCAGCTTTATGGCATCCTCTTTGGACAGAGCAGCATCCCAGGTGTCTTTTGTGCAATACATTAGCTTTGCTTCTTGAAAAGCCCTTCGGACCAGAATAGCTCTCTTCTGCTTTGCAGGAGTCACAAGACCAAGTGGATCATAGAGGGCAGAGACTTGATTTAACAGTTCTCTTCTGGTAAGAGGATTTGGGGTTTGTCCTTTTACTTCTTCTCTTAGCAGGTCCTGACCAAGGTGCATTTTCTTCTTCCTCTTGGAAAAGTTCACTGCAACCATGACATACAGCTTGTCATCTTCAACGGTGTAACCCAGACCAAGGGCTTTGTTATCTTTTTCAGTGAGCTGGTTAGGCAAGATCATGGTCTTTAACTCCATGTTAACCTCTCTTGACTCCTCCCTCCCACTTTGACTGGAGTAGACCCAGGGCTTCATGAAAAATCCTCTAGCTTTAAGGATCTGCTCGATGTTGGATGTGAGGAGTTTCAGGTGGTCAAGGTCATTGTGAGATGTCAAGATGTCATTAACGTAGACGTCTTCTTCCAGCACATGTTTCTCCTCTTTGAATTGTGTGAATAGGGGTAGGCTGGCAGTCTCCCGCATGGCAACTTGGGCTATACAGCCAGGAGGTTTATCCCCGATATTGACTCTTGTTATGGCAAAATCTTCTATGTCAGCATCCTCACTGTCTCGCCACAGAAACCTGTGCAGATGAACCTCTTTCTCTTCTAACCACACAGAGTTGTACAGTTTTTGGATGTCACCAAGGGCGGCAAAGACACCAGCTCAGAACCTCAGGAGGACAGCTCTGATCAGATTTAAGACATAAGGACCTTTAATCAACATGTCATTCAAACTCAGACCTCTGTACTTCAGGCTGCTGTTCCACACTAGCCTCACTGGAGTAGATATGGAATGTGGATTTGGTGCAATCAGATGACTTATATACCACACTGGCCCAGTCCAGCTTTGTAGTACTTCTTTGGACAGTTTCACTGCAGCTTTGCGATCGACCATTTTATGGACTTGTGAAACATAGGCCAATCTCCACTCTGGTTCCTTTGCCAACTGTTTTTCCATCCTGAGGAATGTAGCTTCTACTGCTTTCCTATTGTTGGGGAGAGAAGCCAAATCGTCAGTCCATGGATATTTGGCGTGCCAGTGTGGTTCAGGGGTGTGATGGTCACCATTCACATAAGTCAAGTCATTTCTCATCGTTTCCATCTCTTTCTCCTCAGCCAGAGACATTTCCTTCCTTCCCTCCGGGTTGGCAATTCCCGCAGCGACATCCTCCACATTTTGGCACGCAGGCTGCTCCGATGCTTTCCCATTCCCACCACTTCAAAAAGTCTTTGCTGGTAGTGGCTGCATTGGATTGAATGAAAGGGTGCTTGGGAGACTGACAGGAAACTGAAGATTTGCAGGTGAGTTCACTGAACTTGACGGCTGCAGTCCTCATTGATCTTGCAAAGTGTGTCTCTGATGTATGGGCCATTAAGGTAACTTCTTCAAAGAGGTCCGGATGTGTGCCTCCAATTGTCTTTCCAAGTGGTCCATCCCATAGCACTAGGTCCCCAATAGAGTGAACTTTCTGAGGTACAAGTTGACCTTTGTGGCTAATCAGGAGCTGTATCTCTTTAGGTCTTGTAAGGTCTTTCAAGGAGACATCTGGAAAAATCCTCTGTAGCTTTGTGGCAGGGACATGTCTATGAACTTCTGCAATCTTGTCAAGCCCATAGCAGATCAGCTGATGCGATTTGAGAGTCCCTCTTGGAGTATTGACACGTATCTTAAGGAGATAGCGCTTCGTTTAAACAGACACCTGCATCCCTACAACACCATGGACCACAAGTGTTACATCTTCACTTCTAAGATTCAACTTGCAGCTTTATGTGTAATGTAGTTTGTGTCTGATGCCAGGTCAATGAGGGTTCCAATTCTTTGTCCATCATTGGCTGTGACATTAGGAATCATCAGGACTCATTTAATCCATTCTCCTCTAGAAGGCCTGTTTTAGTAACAGTGGAGTTGTGTGCCCTTGACACAACATTGCAGAAAGCATCTTTACATT